GCAGGTAAAAACGTCAATAACGCATTTTCACTTGATGTCTGTGGCGAAGTTTGCGGTAATCGCTTCAAAATTAATGTACATGATGACCATAGTGCAGACAACACCTGTGCGCGAAAAAAAAATTGATTACTCCATCAGACCGGAAGTTACAATAAAAAGACCTTTAAACCTAAAAATTGCTAGAAAATATACCGTGATAGATATAATAAAGATTTGGCTGTATACAGCACAGTTAATATAGCTCTTGAGGTCTCTGGTAATGACGTCACAATGACGTGATCAAGTATCGTATTACAAGCAATCAAAGATTTCCAGATTTAATCTTTGAAAATCAATGTAAAATCAACTGCTACAGATTTGATTTTGTTCTTTATGGCAATCGATACAATATTGCAGGGTCTTCATTTTTGGTATTAAGTGCAAAATCACGTGACTCTTCCTTCCAGTCGAAACCGGAAGTGCCTTATTATTTGAAATTGGCAGAAGATGCAAACATGCTTTCAGTGATGTGAGTGTCTGCCTAGGCAGTACTGTACAAACATACTACAGGTGACGTCATCAAATGTTAGAGCGCCCTCTAGCGGCAGTTAAAAAACGCCGAAAACGCATTATCACTTGATGTATGTGGCGAAATTTGCGGCAATCGCTTCAAACCTAACATACATGATGAACTTAATGCAGAAAAGACCTGTGCGCGAAAAAAAATGGATGACGTCATCAGACCGGAAGTTATGAATAAAAGACCTTTAAACCTTAAACAATTGCTAAAAAAACAACCGTGAGAGATATAATCAAGATGTGGCTATATAATTAGCAGAGTAAATATAGCTTGGGAGGTTTCTGGCGATGACGTCACAATGACATCATCAAGTGTCATATTACAAGCAAATAAATATTTCCATATTTAATCTTTGAAAATCAATATAAAATCAACTGCTACAGATTTGTGTGTTTTTTTTTGCTAAAATGATGAACAATATGCCCTTTCCGCACTGAGCCAACCTGACACTTGAAACGTGCACGCATATGATCCAGCGATGATTTTTCAGTTCGCTCGGAGTATCACCCATTATTCCCTAATCAGGACTAAATTTTTGATTGGTCAATTCAAATGCAGTGGATTTTAATACAACGGCTGGACATGTATAAAACCTAGAGCTTGACATACCATTGATCATAGACCATGGCTCTTCGCCATGGTCTGTTACATAGACTGGGAGGGAGGGGGGGGGGGTTGGAATCACGGGCGTCACAAGGGGTGACAACATATTTGCTGATGTAACACTAAAAGGTTGACAGTTTGTTCTGGTCACTTGGTAACCGCAGAAATCTAAGGGAGGCACTATCAAACTATATTTGTATAATGGGGCCTTGTAAAATGTGTTAAAAGCGGGAGAGGGTAATGCTGATGGTTTCATTTGTTAAAACAAGCCAAATTGTTGCAGGGATACCCCACTGGTTTTAGGACTTTATTAAGATAATCGTACTTAATGCAGCCTCTGTAGACCACTGCACAGAGATATATAGAGGGCCATCACCAAGCACAGCGTTTTGATAGCGTCTATTCATATGTGCATCACAAATAGTACACTTCATGCACGCACTCTGTTGGTGTGCATTTCCTTTGAGATGTTGTATTCCAACAGTCCAATTAATCAAGCTCAATCACAAATGGATTATTCGTAATGAGTTGTACATTTATTGAAGAAAAAAAGGTTGTTTTGATTAAAGTGTGAAAATACAGAATCTTTGTATGGCAAGGCATGAATTGCCTTACACATACAGGTACGTATCTGGGTGGACGATGAACTGTATCAATATTGAACATATAAATATGAAGAATCAGGCTTATGCCACTTTAAGATAAGAAATACGTACAACAATGCGCTGATAATTAATTACATGTAAATAACTTAGTTTTACAATTTTGAGGCCTTACAACCTTGATGCATGAGTCTTTGCGACCATGATAAAAAAAATCATTTTCTCCTCCCCCCAAAAATACATGACTGTGTAAAGTATTTCAGTTGATTGATAAACAAAACATGATTTTTGTCTTGTCAGCAGTATTTGAAATACTCCTCCAACAAAGCATTAATGCTGGTGTATAAAAAAGGGTAATAAAAAGGTAATCCAACAATACTAGATGAAATTCCCATCTTATGACTAGTTTGGTTGCGGTACCTGCCGCTGTATCAGATTCAAACCAGCAAGCTCATCCCGGCAAGTTCGGTGGTCAAGTGGTAGGAGTCTGCAGTACTAAGCAGGAGGTCGTGGGTTCGAGTCCCACCTGAGTGATTTTTTTCCACAATTACTCGGGACAACACTGAGTATACAGTGTTTAGAAAATTACGTCGGTGAAGGGCAAAACCAAATATTCAATTTACATCACCCCGACGCAAATTCCACCTTATGAATAATAATGGTTAGTACCTTTAAATTATGAGTGTGGCTGCATCCGAAAGGATGATATATCAGCTCTCCATTGATATCTTATTGCCTCCCTGCAATCACGGATGCCTTAGCAACATTGATTCCAAAAATAAGCTCAAAACCTTTTGCCAACTTGGTGGATTTAGTACTGACATGAGGTGGCCATTCAATGCCCCTGTGGACCGTGTGAGCTTTTCTTTCACAGTCCACAGTGACAGTGCATTGTTTGGACAGCTCATCATCTCACAGCTCAGAATCAGCCAAACTGGGCATAAGATGGTTATTACCTTTCCTCACATTGACAGCAGGGGCGCAAATGAAGGCAAATGCAAAGCTAATACATGATCCTTCAAAATATCAGCACACTGACAGTGTTCAAGTACATAATCTGCACGTACAAATGTTCACAAACCAAATTTCCATAATTTCTGACCTTTTTTACTTTCAGAATGTCATTAATTCGTGGTGAAGAGTAAGCACGAAATCAAGTTGATAAGTGTAAAACCCGTCGATATTGAGAAGAATCTATGAATGTCAGCAATGCTTCTTGTTCAATGTACTTTCAATATGCTCACGTGCTTTGTTCTTGTTCTAGAGTTCTACTCAAGTAATAAAGTGCATGTATGTACATCAGGCAGCCTTATTGTGATAAGAAAATTGTTTTCCAAAAAAAGCGTGGAGTTTATTTTTGCAATACTTTAGGGTTAAATCAGGGTTGGCGATTTTTTTGATTTTTTTTTTTAAAATAAAAAAAATCAGATTTATTTGATTTAAATCAGATTTTAAAATTAAAATCAGATTTATTTGATTATTCATAAATACCTCAGACAGTTTAGCTATTCCTATTGGTCGAGAGCCCGTCACGTGGCCGGTCTTAAACAGATGATAAAGACATGGCTAGCTGGTCTTAAACACTTTTCCAGTTTCACGATAAAATGTGGACTCCTTAAAATCCAGTGCCTCTTACCGTTTCATTGGTTGAACGTTCACAATCCTCACGTAGGCATGCACAACACTACAAGCGAGACAGAATTTTATAGTTCTAAATTCAAAACGCAACGCCCCAGGTGCATTCTGCGTGACATCGCGCAGAACATGCTACGCGCGCGTCAATCTCAATAAAAGGGTTGTTTACATCTTACTCGCCAGCTGAACACTCCATTATTTTGCTAGAGGGATGTTTAAAAAAGCATGAAGTGAACTTGTTGAACAAAATCGGGATTTTTTGAACGAATTATTTGATATTTTTTACGGATAAGGTATTTATGAATGGGAATAAATATGTGCTCGGTCGGTATTTATCACTCTGTTTAATACCGCTTAGAGTCTGGGTGCTGATAATTACCCTTGTCTACGGCTCGGGTAATTATCAGCACCCAGACTCTAAGCGGTATTAAACAAGTGATAAAAACCTCCGGAGCACACATTTATTCCCTTATTTTAACTTTCAAAATATTGACTATATGTCTAAAAATGTGTCTAAATCTCCTAATGCACCCTTACACCCATCACTAAGGAGTTTACAGGTTCCTATAATACCCATCGCCCACAAAACTCCAGAAATTGATAAGTATTTTTGGAGAAAATTTATGGAATCAGTGGTAAAAATCACATGATTTCATCTACATGTGTACATGTAGTCTACTTCATTGGTTCAATGGTATACTGAAGACACTTTAAAGGTGATAGCATACAGCTGAGATACATGTTCATTGTGTGTGGGTATGAATGAAAAACGTGATTTTCATGTACAATGTATGGTATGACATACAAAAAAAGTACAGTTCTCCATGGGCATGTATATTTCATAAAAATGCTTCTAATTTCGAAACTGGTAGCACTGATCCTTGTGTAACTTATAGTGTTTGATTGATGGTCCTTCAAACAAGGTCGAATATAGAAATCAGGCCTTGCATAGATCTTTAACCCTAACTCCCTAGGCCTTTTTGCTAGGATGTAGCCTCAATCCTGCAAAATCCTCCAATTGGCCCCATGGAAAAATAGCATATAGCCTCAATCCTGCAAATTCCTCCGTTATTTCTTGAATATAGTCCATGGAGGGGTGACCACTGCCTGAATCCTGCAAAATCCTCCGGCTATGACTGTCAATAGGCTAAGGGCAGAGGCAGTGACATCCGGGAGCAGTACGGAGGTTGTCAAGTATAATCAAGGACTAAATTTATGCACGGATGAGCATAAACAACACAAGGTCCGGCCCAAGACCTTGACACAGTGCGTACTCCGAAATCAGCAACGCACTTTTGCCATGTAACCTCAATCCTGCAAATTCCTCCAATTTGCAAAAAGGATTTTGGAGGATTCAGGGCGGTTAGGGTTAAAAGATATATTTTATAAATCTCAATGTAAATTTTTATCAACGTTAGGAATAATATTGATCAATTGGGACTACACCTTTAGATGGTTCAGGTAAGCCTATACCAGCACAGTTGATTCGCTACATTGCTGTAAACAAATCAAGGAATGATTAGAGTGAGTGTATTTGAATTAAACACAAATGCACTCAATGAGCTTGCATTTAAAAAAGGAAAAGAAAGGGACATTATTGGTTCAAAAATCAAAAGCGATTTAAAAATTATCCATGTGTATCACTAAAGTGAATTTGCCGACTTCTTTTTGTACACACTCTATTACATTATTATTTCAACAACCTTCGACTTCTAAGTGTCAATTTTTAATTCTTATAATCAACTTGACGCTTTCTCATTGAGTCATCCCAACATCTTTCTTGAAATAGTGATCATCTCAAAATTACAATACCGCATGATACAACATCAGAAAAATACAACTATTTGTTCATAAAAGAAGCATTGTAAAATGATTTGAAAAAATACAAAAGTGAATTTTCAAATCACCTTTTTTGTTTTTTTTGTTTTTTGGTTTTTGCCTTTAAATTATTTTGCAATTGCCACTGTTAACACAACTGTATTTTATTATTTGTTGTTGTTGTATATTACAACTTTCCAGCATTTGTGTGGGATGACCGTGTTTAAAAATGTACAAGTGCAATGAACAACTTCTTTGTTGTCACAGCTACAGACTGAGTGAAGTTGATCTTACACTATGCAAGAAATGGTTACAAGTTTAATTATAATGCAACTCAGTCTGAAACAATACCATTAAATTCATGTGTTCCAAAACAGCACTTAAAACCTCTTAATTTTTCTTGTCATTATAGTGCACCGACATTATCATAGGATGCAAGGTAATTAACATGACCAAATGACAGGAAATATTTACACTTTTGGACACTTGGCACCAATTTAAATACTAAAATAATTTAAAATCATATTTACATTGCAACTGTATCACTGCGACAAGAGATTATCCATTATGGCCGCATTGAAAACTTCGTTGAATTCAGTGAAGTCAACATAGGGTTCAATATACCCTTCTTCATCAGGTTCTGTTGGGCGTGGACTGGCCACCTGAAGGCGTTGAAACAATAAGAGTTCCTCCCCACTACGCTGAGTGTCACTGTCACTGGTATTGTACCTAGAGTCTTGATTGCTATTTGGATCAGTGTCATTCAGGTTACTGCATGGAGTAGACACGCTACTACTGGTAGGGGATCCGACTGTGCTGGTGCGAGAGGATGTTGGAGACATTGTATCTGTTACATTGATGGAGAGTGGTACCATGGTTGGTGAGATTGGCATAATCTGGTCTGGCTGGAGAATGCGGCTAGGTTGAGGTGATGACGGACCAGTAAAGCCTGGCCTTGGTGGGATGATCAGTGTGGGTCTCTGTGCACTCACAGCCCCAGGGTTGTATGGTACAGTGACAGGATTAAACTGTGACATGGGACTGCTGACACTGGTTCCCAATGGAAATCCAAAGTTGCGCACTAAGAGCGTGATGTCCTCACGTTTATGACACTTGCTGGCGCGTGGCCCCTTCTCCAAGTAGGTGTCGTGATGGATGCGCACAACCTTATCCACCACACCCTGCGTGACGCCACTCAGTGTGGTCTGGACACTGAATTCTGCTGCAATCATTTTGGCAATGTCAATGTTGACCTGTGTTGTTGCTGTGGCATCCACCAGTGATTTGTGCAGTCCACCTGTAAACATGGCCATGAATCCATTCATGCCATTCAGAGGTATTCCACCAATCACCTCAGGCTCAGCTATCACTGGTTCACTCTGTGCAAGACTGAAAGAACAGACAAAATATATACATCAGTTAAGTCTTGAAGGTGGGAAACACCCTTTTCCTACAAACTTCTGTTATGCCAACACATGCTTATTATTATTATTATTATTATTGGTTTTATCTCAATACCTTCATGATTTGAAATTTTTCAACTTGGACGGTGCAGCCACTATCAGTGAAGTACAAGAACTAATGAAGGCAGGCTTTCAGGACCACCAATGCAGAACTAGTGATGGACAGTGTTGAAGTCCTCACACGTCCATCACAAGTCCACATACTGCATTTGGTGTAATATTTACCATGTATTTAACTTTGCTATAAGTAGGTGCATGAAGATTTGGGTAATTTCAGTTTAAGTCTAAATGCACTAGGATAAACAACTTCTGTGGGACATTGCTACTGGTGTCTCCCTCCAGGTCTCCTACCAGGATCACTACCCATGGCATTGGCTAAATGTTTGAGCAGTGCCTACATGTAACAGGTTCACTAACTGTTTAACTTATATAGGGTTTTGCCCTTCGCCAACGTATTTTATTATCACTGTATACTCTGTGTTATCCAAGGGCTTGTACAAAAAAATCACAAACTTACCTAGGTGGGACTAGAACCCACGACTTGCTTACTAGTGCAGACGTCCTACCACTTGAGCACCAAGCTTTCCAGGGTCTGCTGGCTGGTTTAAGTCTGAGGTAGCAGCAGGTACTGCAACCAAACTTTTTTCTTGCAAGCCCTTGAACAACACTGAGTATACAGTGTTTAAAAAATACATTGGCAAATGGCAAACCAAAATATATGATTGACATCTCCCCGACGCAACTTCCATCTTATTAAATGTCTAAATGTTTACCCAATTAAAAGTTGATTGCAATCCTTGAAGTGAACCAGTGGTGGTGCAAGTTAGGAATCAAACTTCAAGCGCCCTTACTAATAATTCATTGATACAATTTCATCACTTGAGAGCCACTACATTCAGGTAGAGAATTGGAAGGATATATAACGCACCACAGGTCCTCCTGTTGTACCAACCTGAGCATGACATGTTCCTTGTAGCCTCCTTTCAAGGAGTGATCCCCAATCTTTCTGGTGGTGTTAGAGCTGCCCAGCTGATTGCCATTGATCTGACTGACATCCAGGCCAAGTTGTTGCAATCTCAGTATCTCGTCATCATTCAGGACAGTGTGGTCGATACTGAGCTGCTTGACAGATAGGCTACCATCTGGCTCACTGATGCAAAGGATGGTTCTGGAATCACCTGGGAGAATTTGAATGGAAAGAGGTCTCCTGTCAGACTGAACACAAACATTGAACCCATCTGTATCATTCTGCACACGAGTCTAACCATTCAGGAAAACTGATTTTACAAATCAAATTGACAAGATTACAATTAAGACCCAATTGATTGTTGCTTATCACTGCTTGATATCAAATAATTCAAGGTACGCAAGCAGAGACTATCATTTGAAAGTTTGAGCTTAGCTCAATAAGTCCTTATTATGAATCTACAAGTTTTTATTAGGACACCTGCGAATGTTGTTTGTTCTAAATTATAATAATGTGCTAATTTTCTGCAAGGGGGAAGTGTTGGAAAGTAAATGTTTCAATATGCAGTTCCTGTTTTATTGAAAATGACAAAATACCAAATGTAATATTGGGTCAATATTTGTATGATATCAATTGACAATTCATTTAGTTTTTGGATACATATTGAAATGGCCTTTAAATATTGACAGTGTTATAAACCAATGCTGTTAATGAAAATAATGCTGATGCTCTTTTTTTCATCAGACCACAATGCTTCACTGATAATGAAACAAGGTGGTTCTCGAACCACACGTCTCGTCTGTTTCAAATGATACCCCAAATTTTACGTTTTCAGCCTATTTAACAACTTGACCTCAGATGACCTTTGACCTTGGTATGTGACATTAGACATCATAATCATATAAAGGTTGCCATGTTGCATCTGTGACTCAAGATTGGTTCCAATTGGATTTCAACTTTTGAAATGAGACCAATTTTACATTTTCAGGCTATTGTACAACTTGACCTCAGATGACCTTTAAACTTGGTATGTGACCTTTGACATCATTATCATATGAAGGTTGCCATGTTGCATCTATGACCAGAGTTTGGTTCCAGTTGGACTTCAACTTTTGAAATGAGACCAATTTTTCAAAAACTTTAACCAAATACCACATACATACGTCCGTTCCAGTGGATGGACAGTTCTGGGGTAGGAGCACTGTTGTCCTTTTATTCCTATTTCTAAGATTTCACTTGCAGGGTACCTCTAACAATGAACGAGTACCCCACAAGTGGTCCATGGTAAGCACGTCCGGATGTGCAAACATACATACATACATACATACATACATACATACATACATACATACATACATACATACGGATAGACATAGTGATTGCATGGTCTCTTTCCTGAACTTCGTTCAGGCGAGACAAAAACCATGCAGTGTGTGTACAGATGTAATGACCAATTTATTACATACATATTTCAGATACATACAAGATGCATTATATTGAGATACATATGTGAACATAATATGTAGTTTTCTGTCATGATAAGTTACAGACAGGTAGATATCAAAGTTGTGTTTTTTTTCCTGCCTTTCTTAGATACTTACCTACATTAGCTACATAGAGTTTTCCAGAGATGATGAGTGCAATGTTGGCAGAAGCACCACCAATGATCTGACTATCCAAGGATTGTATTTTGTCTACTTCCGTTGGGTATTGCTGATATAGCTCATAGTCATTCAGCTCCTACACAATGATCAAACAGATGGAAAGGAGCAATTGCAATTTCCAGATAATAATTGTACTGTGTAACAAACTTTCTCAACTAGCAATAATTAAAGGTTTAAAGAAATTGAAAATATGAAAAGATCAAATTAAAGGCTCGCCCATCCTGATGTCCAGAGTTGTCTACAAAACTCATTGTGTTTATGTCTGCAGGGGGCAGACACATACACAATGACATCACACAGGACATGACATCCCACGAAAAGGGGTGTTTTTGTGGATGGGACAATAGGACATATTGTTTCCTGTCCAAAGCTTGATTAATTACTAAAATATAACTTACATATACATGAGTTAAAGCTATAGTCCATCATTTGCAGCTATCCGAAAAGTAACTGGCGTAATTATTGTTGAAAAACATACTTGGTTGAAAGATAGTAAGGGGACTAAACTCCCTGTGAAATTATTCTTTCTGACAAGCTGTCATTTTGAAGTAATCAACGAAAGAAGGCATTTCCAACGGTGATTCTTAAGAAGCACCGTAGGAAAATTTAAATTAGTAGTTCGTTTTGTTATTCAGCGCAGCGCGCACAAGTATTGGAACGACGCACACGCGCGCGCGGTTGTTGTAATTCGTCGGATCAGTGCGCGACGTTGTGTATAGCTGCAATTCAAAACAATTCAAAACATGATTCAGTAACTTTTGATTTGAAATTGAGATCTTAGAATGCTGTTTTTTTTGGAATGTACAGCTGAAGCTTAGCTGAAACTTCATCAGGTTAGTTGTTCAGTATCCTTCATTAGATTTTGAACTCTTTTGTTGCTTCAAACGAACAAAATGCACAAATTACAAATGATGGACTGTAGCTTTAAGTACATGTATTCGTCATTGTTTAAGAACCAATACCCGAAACTCTTTACATCTTTAATATTCATCATTTTTCAGAACCAACTCTAGCACTTTTCCTTTTTCAATTTCTATACAACTGTAAGATTAATGCACATAATTGTTAACTCAGCGGTCTCCTAAACCTTGGGGCATGAGTGAAAGAAAGACAACCCAACAATGAAGGCATGTACAGGACATTTCACTGTTCACACTGCTTTTTATCGTCTATGTAATCTATGTACACGTACATCTCAATGAAGCAATATTTCACCTAATGGTCCATCAAAATCAGCAAACTTTCTCATTTTTACCATTGAAGGGGTAGCTGTTTCCCAGACAATACAGGGTGAGTAAAAAAAACGAAACCCAAATGTCGGGACAATTGTTTTAGTGAAGTTGTGCATGAAGCACTTTCAAAATCTAGGATACAAAAGTCCATTTCATAAGCTTTCTTTTAGTACAAGAATTATTCAAATCACTCATGTACTTTTCAAGTTACAGAATTTTAAACACAACCAATGTTTTAAAGTTCTGTCCATGGATCATAAAGAAGGTGTGCATTCTTTCAGCAAAACAAAAACAATTCACACACATCCCTATGTGATTTCAAATTAGGTTTTGCCCTATTTGATTTGTTTTCGTTTTGCGGAAAGAACACTTACCTTTTTGTGATCCGTGGACAGAACTTTAAAATTGTGGTTGTGTTTCAAATTACGTAACTTGAAAAGTACATGTGTAATTTGAATGATTCTTGTACTAAAAGAAAGCTTATGAGTTGGGCTTTCATGTCCTAGATTTTAAAAGTGCTGCATGAAGAACTTCACTAAAACAATGGTCCCGACATTTGGGATTTGTTTTTTTGATTTACCCTGTGTATATATATAATAGTATTTTGATGTCCATGTGTTAAAAATCAACGGAATCTCAGGCTTTTACAGTGGACAAACCCACACATGAAAGACTACAATAATAGCGGGTCACCATTCAATGAATGAAAAACAATGTTCATTGCTTGTGGCAGGCCCAAGAATAGCTTTGATACTTTTGACAACATCAAGCCTGAACCATACCTCTGGCAACTGCAACTTTAGATTTGTTCTTTCAGCCAAAACCTCGTCAATAGTCTCAAAGTAGCTTCTCTCCACGGTGTGGAAGGCACGATGGAGGATGTCCTTGACCGCTGCATCATCAGTGACATCCAGTAACTGTCCTAGAAGCAGCTCCGCCGGTAAGCGAAGACGGGCAAAGTCTGCAACATGCATCCCGTCATGCCCATCAAAGATGCCATACAAGTAGCACTCAACCTCATACGCCCTGGTCAAGTTCAAAGAAACTATCCTTTCAAAATAATTGCTTGTTGTAATAACTCTTTACCTTTGATATGAAGATATAAAGGGCCAATTCAGAGCCTGCTAAGCACAAAGAAGGTTTGACTTTGCAAAGCTCAGTAACCAACCACACTGTCAATGTCGTATGACATACGTGTATATTGCAGTGATGGAGGACTCAAGTCCGGACTTGAGTCCAGACTAGGGTCCATTTTTTTTTTACTCGGGACTCGACTTGGCTGGGACTCGGCCAATGGCTGACTCAGACTACCTGTCGAATTCGAATCGAGTCCGACAGTAAATACAAGTACATGTACAGCGATACGTGTACGTCATTGTCCACTACATCAAAAGTCCATCACAAATCACTCAGTCACAAACTATATAACTGTGACAACATTCCTTTGTCATTGTTTATCCCCCGTTACTTGAGACTGGACTTGTGATATGGCAGTGATATGGTGTTACTTTTGATGGACCTGTGATGAACTTGACTACAACACTGCACTTGTTACGATTTGTCACAAGTATTGAAGTTTTCTTCATGAACATAGCATTGTTCTATTCTTTAAATATATATTTATGTGTTCTGCTATAAAAACCTTATGCGACTGGACTCGGTCTTGAAAATTTGGACTTGAAAATTTGGACTCGGACTTGGGCCAGACTTGGGACAAAAATGGACTCGGGCTTGGCTCGGATTCGAGCCTTCATGGACTCGGCTCGGCTCGGACTCGGATGAGGTGGACTTGACTACATCACTGGTATATTGTCTATGAATGGTTCATAACAAAGTTGGCAAAGCAACCTTTCGGTTTGCGGTAACACCATGTGGTAATAACTACTGTTGCTCAGTAGATATTTAGTTCTGATAAGAACTTGTCCTGCTTATTATCAATTTTTGCTAAGTAGTTACTTTCCGATAAGAACAGTCCTGCTTTAAAGGGAAGAAACAACATTTGCAAACATCACAAAACGAAATGATCAAATTATCACAAAATGCCTTACTGGATTGTTAGGGAAATCGTGTTAAAATCGTGGTTCCTGGTGTGCGTTGGAGAAAATTGTTTTTTTCCCCCCCAAAAACTGCTCCTTTTTTTCCTAATTAGTTATTCTCCAATTTCTTTGCAATTGATTACACACCTGTGAAGGGGTACAAGCCTTCTAAACTGATTCTCTGACTTACAAATCCCCAAAGTCTATAAATTGCTCCGATTCATCTTAAGTGGGATCAGGAACCAGACTACAGGAATATGATTGGTTTTCTTGGTTTTTCCAGCATCTACATGTACATGTACATGTACAAGCCCAAAACGTGAAACAAGTCCCTTTTAACAATATTTGCTATAACATACTGATCCTCCAAATTCATTTATTTCTGAAAATTGCAGCAAAAGCAAATGTTGTACATGTACATCCCCTTTAAGTTCTAAAATAACTCAACGTTTCGACTAGCGTGCTCTAGTCATCGTCAAAAGACCAGTTCTTTTAGAACTTAAAGCAGGACTGTTCTGATCAGAACTAAAACTATCAAGCGAAAGTTGATAATAAGCAGGACAAGTTCTTATCACACGCATGCAACTGGGAATTTAGGGGAAAAAACGAGGAAACTCCAAGCCACAGGAGACTCTGTACAGTATTTGTCAATTTGTAATGGCATTCATGAGAAGTAAAAAAATAACAGCGTTGCTGTTGAAACCCCTCAGCCAGAGTCAAGTTATCGTCCGGAAACCATTAACTCAACATGGTGACCTTGACCTTTGGCCTTTGACCCCAGAACCAGTCCCAACATGCCTGTACCAATGGGAAACCCCCTACTGAAGATAGACCCCAATATTTCATGTCTAACTCAAGTTATCATTCAGAACCATTTACATGTTACTCACCACGGTGACCTTGACCTTTGACCTTTTGACCCCAAAACCAATCCCAACTTGCCTGTACCCAAGGGCAACCCCCTACCTAAGTCAAACACCAAAATCTCATTTCTTACTCAAGTTATCATCCGGAAACCATTTACATTTAACTCACCACGGTGACCTTGACCTTTGACCTTTTGACCCCAAAACCAATCCCAACTTGCCTACTCCTAAGGGCAACCATCTACCAAAGTTACAACCCCAAACAACATTTCTAACTCAAGTTATCATCCGGAAACCATTTACCTTTAACTCACCATGGTGACCTTGACCTTTGACCTTTTGACCCCAAAACCAACCCCAACTTGCCTACTCCCAAGGGCAACCCTCTACCAAAGTTTGACACCAAAATCTGATTTCTAACTGAAGTTATCATCCTTAAACTATTTATATTTAACTCACCACGGTGACCTTGACCTTTGACCTTTTGACCTCAAAACCAATCCCAACTTGCCTACTCCCAAGGGCAACCCCCTACCGAAGTTACAATCCAAAAGAACATTTCTAACTCAAGTTATCATCCGGAAACTAAGCTGCCCGGACGTCCGCACTGACATACGGACGGACGGACGTTCTAGCCAGACGGACTTGTGGGGTGATAGCATTGTGTTCCCATTATCCCTTTTTCTAAAGATTCCCTTCTGGGGTGATGTTTTTCCATTGTGTAAAAAGTGGGGTGATGTGTCCTGAAAGGAACATCACCCCACAAGGGTGGTCTGGTCAGAACGGCCATTCCGACGGACGGCCGGACGCCCTAGGCGATGACAATACCCCTCGAGCCTCTCGACTGAGGGGTAAAAAACGAGGAAATCAGCAGATCTCAGGAAAAGTTGCATGCCTCACCACTGTTTCCAACGCCAAATGCGGTTGTAACTTGTATGCGTGCGCAATATTTCCTTCCTGAAGCCCACCCTCTGTTGGTGGACAGGATATGCAATTATGTATAATTTAGGAGGGGCTTCTTGAGAGAAAATGAATAGTAATATGAGAAGAATCATGAATATTCATTACCTACTGCACTGTAGTTGTGGGTTGTGATCTGGGCATTACATTTGCTGTTGAATCGGCCATTTTTAAGCTCATATTGTGCTTGCGGCAGTGCCGAAAGGCAGCGTATATTTTTTGGTTTTGAATGCTTCATTGTCGACTTCGAGGGGATTTTTAGGGGCCTCAAACTGATAATCTTCAAGTTAATCCAAGGAAATGTCTAGTTTCAGGGTGAAGAATGGTCCTTTGTCTCTCCAATACCGTTGAAGGTGAGTTAGCAAACCTGATTTTACTCTCATTCTGTGTAATATAAAACAGGCATGCAACGCGCCATGCCATAGGGTCATGCATAGACGTTAGCTCTATGTTGGCACCATAGACATGTAATAAAACCTAGACACACCATTATCTGCTTTTACGTTGTAAATTCTGTGAGCAAAATGGGCTGCGTCACGCGGCTTAATTACGCGATGCGCAAATGTCATGCATATGGCTTCGACTTACGCACATACTTCCTAGTTATTCTATATGCACAGCATTTTGCTCACAGGCGCAATAGCAAATGTCGTGTCTAGGTTTTATTATATGTCTATGGTTGGCACAGTGTAGCCGTTGCCAGCGGTGTTGCCAAGGGGGAGGGGCGTGGGTGGGGGCCCTTAATACCCCCATAAACTAATCTAACCCCTCACCCATCGCCCCCACTGGACATTTCACATGGAAAAAAAAAATTAAGCAAATGCTGTTTGAAATTTTGCTTTGTTGATTTTTATAAATAAAGTATACATAAAAATAAGTTTAATTAGGCCAATTTTTTTCTACTTTTGCATTTTCTTGATACAGGTTGAGGACAAGCAGTGGCCATTGATGTACTGACATTCAGCGGATGTTCTTTCGTGTGTGTTGTTACGAGTCACGGAAAGCGTTAACCATGGTAGACCCGTAAACGTTGTTATATACATAGCCACGCTCTGTTCATAACGCTGGACTTTCGAAAAATGTCTACAGAACACATTTGTATGTGCTCCATTTTCCCTCGAACTTCTTTGGAATGACAGATCCTAGCTATAGATGCCCTTGGAAGTTCAAGGATAAATATCAACAAACAGTACTTGTTAAATTTCGGGAGTATAAGTGGAAGGGTTCCGACCGGGATTTTGAACATGTTGAAAGTCCAGAGAATATAAAGGAACCGTGGCTATGTAAGCCATGTTGACCGGTCCATAACCATGGTAACTTATAGGACTGACACGTAAGAATGCCATTATTTTCTCAATTTGCCAAATTTCCAGTCCGGGGGGGGGGGGGGGGGGGGAATTAACTTAGAGATGATCCATTTTAATGGGAGGCGTTCATCCCCATGCCCCATTCTGTACCACTGAGGAGGAACTCATTGAGTCAGGTTTGCTCCCAGTCACCCGAGTCCAGTCTGCTCATTAGGACATCGAGTCAAGTCGAATCACCACTTATTTCAAATCCTTAAAAAATTGTCCCAGGAATTGACCAAAACAACATAAGCCGCAGTAAACATGTTCATGGGCAAAATCAATATTCCGAAAATTACGGTAAATATCAACTGAGCGACTCTGGCTATTACCACATGGTGCTACCGCAAACAGAAAGGATACTGATACTCCACCATGCAAAGCCTCAAATATTATTGGCAAAGCAACATTTTCTGCAAAAAAAGAGACATGAAATTGAGCCAAGTAACTCCATGCCACTTGACCTGAGCCAGTGCCAAATCAAAACTATTCAACTAAGGTTTTAGTTGAGCTGGCCTTTACATGTACATAGAAATAAGAATGGCCACGCCCCATCCAATCAGACATTCTAGAGAATGCAGTTCTGGAATTCTCACCTAAAATGGAAGAAGCGATCCTCAAACTCATGTTCTTCCTCCCTAGCACCATCTTGTCGATAAATCTGATTGGTTGAGAAGCCAATGCCAGACAAATGACAGACTGGAAGATCATCGGTCCAGCTTGGTGCAGGAGACTGTAACATATCAATATGAAAACAAACAACATAGGAAATAGAGTTTTTGTTCACACAATATTAAGTACAATGCCTTTTCTGCATGTCACGTTTGAACTGTACAATTTTACTGTACCAGTAAATTTGTGCAAGTTGTTCCTTATCATGAATAAAGTTTTCCTTTAAAAGCAGTCTGTGTGTATATTTTGTCCTCATTCTGATTGGCTAATAGTTTAGGCCAATTGAATATTCAACAGTGCCCATTTATTGCAGTCTTTTCTTTTCACAGCTAGCTGAATGAGCCACAACTTACGAGGAACAGTATGTGTTGTGTACAGTGTGTACATTGTGTACTTATTTCTGGATTGTGCAGGGATTTGTGCCAATAGTTCAGTGCCATGATTACTGAAGCTTGAAATGCTTGTCAGTTTTTCTTGGGGTGCAGTCCAGTCAGTTGGGACCAGTGTCTGTTGGCGGAAGAGCCTGACAAGTTTTGACAACAGTTCTTGTTTTGTCTGATCGATTGACAGCTATTTCATGTCGCAGCCAAATAGACAATGTTTTAGACAAGTTTCCAGTCCTCTCATCGCGCTGTGCTATGAGATTAATTGATTACGTGAGACTCATTTCCCTCTTTGGGTCTCACGTAATATAATCCATCATTTGTAATTTGTGCATTTTGTTCATTTGAAGCAACAAAACTGCTCAAAATCTAAAGAAGGGTGCTGAACAACTAACCTGATGAAGTTTCAGCTCAGCTTCAGCCGTATATTTCGAGAAAAACAACATTCTAGGACCTCGATTTCAAATCAAAAGTTGCTGAATCATGTTTTGAACTGGGCCTGAATTCAGCGTCCGAGACACGTTCTCACTGAACCGATTGCAGCTACACGATGTCGCGCACCGATCAGACGAATTATAGCAACCACGCGCGCGTGTGCATCGTGTCAATGCTTGCGCATGCTTCGCCGAATAAAAAAAACGAATTACTAACGGAAATTTCCAACAGTGCTTCTTAAGACGCACCGTTGGAAAGGCCTTCTTTCGTTGATTTCTTCAAAATGACAGCTTGCCAGAAAGAATAATTTCACAGGGAGTTTAGTCCCCTTACTATCTTTCAACCAAGTATGTTTTTCAACAATAATTACGCCAGTTACTTTTTGGATAGCTGCAAATGATGGACTCTGGCTTTAATCTCATAGCACGGCACGATGAGAAGACTGGAAACTTGTCTAAAACGTTGTCTATGTTGGCTGTGACATGAAACAGCTGTTGATCGATCAGGCAAAACAAGAACCTTCTAATCATATGCAGCGTTCTGCAGAGCTAACAGGTACTCAGCGGGCTCCTATCATTTTGTGCATACAGGAGTCGGGGTACCAGAGACCCTTGTGATAAGATCAAAAGTTGTAAATTCTCTCTCCAAAAAGTGGAATTTATTTGGAATGTTGATTGATACGCCGATTGTATTCTTCACATGCAAGTACTTAATACAATGGGACAAATGACGTTCTGGTTGAAAATTTTGAGCACATCGAAGGGTTTCATATCACAATTACGCATGGCGTTGTTATTGACGCCACGTTCACGGGTCTACTCTGCATTCAAACGTACACATTTCAGTGTCTCACAAATCCCTGGTTTAAATCCATTTTTCTTTGGTTTGCAGATTCTGACGAAATCCAAACTTGTATAATATTAATGTTGGAAAGAATGTTGCATCCTGATGGAAATGTTTCTCAATCCCAGATTCATGCCTTATTTTATCAACCTTTTTTTTGCAATGACTGACCCTTATGGAGATGATTTATGAAGAAAAAAGTGGCGTCAGGTTGCAAAATTCTTTCCAAAAGGATTATTTCATTTTTCCCCCCTACAAAACCACATCAAAAACAAATGTAGAAAATACATTTTAAAATAGCCTCCAGCAAGGGGCCCAACCAAAATTAGCGTTAGTTTTTAGTTACACTAACATAACAACAAAGACCTCCAAAAAAGCTAGTAAAAAGTATAGTCCGAGTAGGACTCTACGAATCGCCTTTTTAAACATTTTTAGCACGTGACATTCACTTGCCTTTTGTGGCGAGATTTGCCTAGATTTCGTTGGACCAAAATAGAAATGACATCATCGTAAAGCCAAAGAAAATCTCTTTCAACTCATACCAAGAACAGGTTATACTCGGTTTTTTTTTGTCTTCTGATTTTGGAGATTTTTTCCGACGAAATAAAGGTACAGATTGTCATGATTTTTGGGCCGCAAAATCGTTAAAAATCTCACGTGAGGAGTTCATGAAAGACTATATAAGGGGTAGTTTCTGAAAGGGTGGAATGTCAGGAGTAGTTTGTGTGACTAGTTTTTTTGTTACGTTGCCCGTGACGCTTTTTGATGGTGGGGGGTTTTGTTGTCGGGGTGCCTTCAGCAAGGTGATTAAAATATGGCGCGCAGCAGTGTCACAATGGCTGCCTATTTCTTCCTCCATGCTTTATGCATGCATGAAGCAATAATATTATAATGCTGTGATTACTGGGGTAAATTTTGGTGGATTGCTTTATTGGGGAAATTAACATTATTAAAATATGCCATTCTGCTAAAAAAAAATAATATAGTAATATTTCAACTGTTTCTGAATATTTTCCAAACTTGAACTAAATTTGCATTTAAACATATTAAAATTAGCTTATTTTTGTTTTTGCTATTTTGCCCTAGACTTCTAGTTCCTCAATATGTCTAGTCCAGAGTCTAACCCGACTGGTCTGAGTATAATTAAGAACAATTAAGATTCAATGTTTTTTTGTTATTTTTTAATATCCATCTCTGCATAAGGCCAAACAAAGGGGACAAAATAAAGTTAGTTCCCACTGGAACCTACATAATGAAGAAATGTTGTCTGTCATCAAATACTTCCATACTTTACAGATATACTTTTGCTAAAAGTTAAAAACCCTTTTTGGGGGCCTTATAATACTTTCAACACACAGTTGGGTGAATGTCAATGCAAGGTTTCCATGCATTCCTATTTTAGTTCCCTGGATTCTCATCCTGGTTCAACCTCAAATATGACAGCTCCAATACATGTACACATAGCAGCTATTAAAGGACCACCATAAAGGGGACCTGAGAATACTAATTTAAGATAATATGATCTCATCTGAATGAACTTGAAAATGTTTTCCAAACCTTTCTCAAATATTTTGAGGTGACTTGGAGTTTTTTTGTTTTTTTTCATTTTACACCCCGCACCATGCCGGCGGAATAATTAGGGTTAGACATGCCCCTTTAACCCTAACCCCCTAGGCCCTTGTTGCTTACAACCATCCTCAATCCTCCAAATCCTCCAAAATTTTTCAACTCCGCCTAAATTTTTCAAAATTGTCAGACAGTCCTGCCTCAAAATGCATTCGTCCTCAATCCTCCAAAATCCTCCTCATCCCAAAATTTTGCACTCGTGTTTAAATAAAGGATAACCAACGCCAAATCCTTCAAAATCATCAGACAGTCCTGCCTCAAAATGCATTCATCCTCAATCCTCCAAAATCCTCTTGTGCTTCATTCACCATTCATCCTCAATCCTCCAAAATCCTCATGTGCTTCAATCACCATTCATCCTCAATCCTCCAGAATCCTCATTTGATTCAATCACCATTCATCCTCAATCCTCTAGAATCCTCCAAAACCGCCAGGAGGATTTTGGAGGAGTGAGGTGGGTTAGGGTTAATGGACTATAACTTCACCCTACCTTAAGATATAAACTTATAATTGGCACCATTAGTTTTCCTTTTGGAAGCTCTTTCCAATGATACCAAGTTTGTAATATTGGCGATCGTGAAGTGTAGGGCCCCTGTTTTGTTTTGATCAAATTAGAGTCAAATCTGTGTTTTATTGCTCAAAAATCACCTTTACAATTACATGTAGCTGGAGTTACCCAGCCCTAAATTTTATCATTGGGTTGTCATTTAGGGCTGGAGGAAGTTTTTCACCTGCAGCATTGGCAGGTCCCCCCAAAAAATTAGAAAATGTGCAATTTTGTCCCCGTAACACACTAATTTCAACTGGAACTCACCCAAACTTTGCCTGGCATAACCACTTCACAGGTCCTTGAAGTAAAAAACGATCCGTGATGAAGATTCAACCTACAATTGCAGTGAAAAAAGGAGGCATAACCAACAACCGTGTGGCCATGATGATGCCCGGAGCTAGATTTGTGCACAAACAAACTGCGTGTACAATTAAGGAATGGCAATGCGCGGTCTATTACCATGCACAGCACACAAACCAGTCGCTCTTGCTAGCTGGCTGCTGGCGCATGACGTCACGCGGAAGCCTAACACCCGACGACTGTTTCATGCACTAACTATGAGGTTTACCACTCGCATCACAGCTGCGGTACTGGAACGGCAGCCGAAGTTGGCCGGTTTTCATACATTCATAGTGCAGTTATGATCGCCATCTTTATTTTCGGGTCGCGTGTTGTCACCGCGCTATCATCGTCATTTTACCCCCAAATTTCGCTCAAAAATAAAAAACCTGCCCTCCATCTATGACATACCTGTTTATTGAGAATGTCGCCAACTAGTTTGGTAGGTCCAATAATTTTAAAGTGGATTTTGTTTCCTTATAGGATCTGGGCCCTACACTACACGATCGCCCTAAAAAACCCAACAGTGCCGACCACCCTACCAAATCCCCAAATGTAACCCCACTTGTGTGGCCTCTGTATTGCTGCGCTGTACGTTAGGCCACACGTCTGGTTTCCCAATTTACTTGGAATGACCATATCTCTTCTATTACTAAAATCACTTCTAGGCACACTGGTGTTCTCTCCAAACTTCGATCGTTTCTTCCCCCCTCTATCTTACTCTCTATCTACAATACTCTCATTCTTCCTTATCTCAATTACTCCAACATTGTCTGGGCGCGCTCTAGTAATAGTCAACTGTATTCTGTTATTACCATCCAAAAACGAGCCATTAGAATCTGCACCCTCTCTTCTCCCAGGGAACATAGTGCACCTCTTTTTGCCCATCTGAATACACTAACTCTCGAAGACATTAACAAACTTCAAACGGGAATATTCATGTACCGGTATATTAACAAACTTCTCCAGATATTTTCATCCTTTTTTTTAGCTGTTCACAACATCCATGGCCATAGCACAAGATCATCTAACAAACTTTATGTTCCTTTCACTCGCACATCATACTCCATGAACACAATTCGATTTCACGGGCCACGTCTCTGGAATGACATCAGCTGGACGGTGAACACACAGTCGTCTGTGGGCCGCTTTAAGAACTCCTTCAAAGCGGAACTGATTTCCCATTACATAGCGTAGCTATTCTCTCGCCACTGTGCAAATTTCCTCCTCCCGACTGCTGTTTTCTGTTTTTTTCTCTTCTTCTTTTCGCTCCAAGTTAGGCAGGCACACTTCATTTTATTTCATTTACAATCAGCAGAAAATTCAGATAATTGTTCTTGTCTTTGTTTCTTGTTTGTCCACTCATGTTTGTAAATTGTTTGTGTTTGTTTGTACTGGCATGGCAATATAAGCCTTCGGCTTCTGCGCATGCCACCATATTGCTGTTTTTATAATTTATTATTTGTTAATGAGCCGTAGTTTTTGTGGATTATTACATTATTTGTTGGTTATATAAATATTATTTGTTCCTTACTCAGTTTCTCATTAATGTTATTTTTAAATAGACTCATTGTGCATTTTGTGTCAGCAATATTGAAATAAATGTTTGTATGAAAGAAAGAAAGAAGTTTAGTCCGAAACTTGCACATGAGGACTCCAGAAAGATGTCTAAATTTCTCTAAAAATTTGAAGAAACGTTACCTTAGTACCCGGAGGGCTAGCCCCATAAATGTGGCCTATTTACTGGACTGCCTCCGTAAACATAGGCCACACATCCACATGTAGAAAAATTGTGTCGACGGAGCCAAATTTTGATTTTCACATTTAGGCTTAGTTTGTAGGGTTTTTTTGCTTTAGAAGCATACTCACCCTCTTTACAGGCTAATCAGAAAGTGCTGCCTTTTTCAGATGTCTAATTTTTGTGAAATTTCATGTTGAAATTTTGATACACAAACGTGTAAAAATGAATCTGGAAATTTCACGAAAAATATACATCTGAAAAAGGCAGCACTTTCTGATTAGCCTATAAAGAGGGTGAGTATGCTTCTAAAGCAAAAAAACCCTACAAACTAAGCCTAAATGTGAAAATCAAAATTTGGCTCCGTCGACACGATTTTTCTACATGTGGATGTGTGGCCTATGTTTACGGAGGCAGTCCAGTAAATAGGCCACATTTATGGGGCTACCGGAGGGCAAAAGATAAGGCATCATAGAATACAACCTTATGCAGTGGTGTGTAAAAAAAATTGCCAAAAAAAGGTGCGCCAGGCTTTGGACTAAACTCCTCAGTAGGTTGGAAAACCAGGCGTGTGGCCTTACGTACAGTGCAGCAATACCGAGGCCACACAACTCTAGCCCCACTAGTGTGGCCGTCGGTATGCTGCGCTGAACCTTTGGCCACACACCGTGGTACCGCGCGCTACTGAGGACGAAGTTTTCATAAAAATTCAGGGCAGTTTCTTACATTCTCAGTTTCTTACTTTCTTATGGTTGTATTCTATGATGTCTCACCTGTCACTTCTGGGATGCTTAGGTCTAATGATGTTCCATTTTCCGAGATATTCTTCAATCTTTCTGGAGTCCATATGCACTCGTGAAACGTCTGGTGATGGCAGCCATTTTGAATGGGACAAGAGATGACCTCAAGCTGTGACGTCGCGTGTATGCAAATTGCTTGTCGAGCGAGGGTGCGAGTTGCAAATGCGACGGCTGTTTCCTGTACCATTCATTTATCGTCAGGGGGCCACGTGCACCGATCTCTATTTAGCTGGAGTTACCCAGCCCTGAGTTTTATCATTGGGTTGTCTATTAGGGCTGGAGCGCATTTTTCTCGTAACTTGTAGTATTTGCAAAAAAAATTTGGAAAATGTTCAATTTTGTCCCCGTTACACACTAACTGCAACTGCAACTCACCCCAAACTTGCCTGGAATAGCATTACACAGGTCCTTGAAGTAAAAAACGATCCACGATGAAGATTCAGCCTACAATTGCAGTGAAAACAGGAGGAATAACCGCTAACCTGACAACCTTTCAGGCATGGCCAGGACTGCTATTGGTTTGTGCACAAAAAAAATTGTGTACAATGAATGGCGGTCGATTAACAGGCAGAGAGAGCGATCGCTGTCAACTACTCGTTTTTGCCGGCTGCGCTGGCGTTGGCGCGTGACGTCACGCGGAAGCGTAACACCCGATGACTGTTTCATGCACTATTGGTTGCGGTTCCAGTACCAAAGCTGTGATGCGAGTGGTAAACCTTATACTAGTGCATGAAACAGTCGTCGGGTGTTACGCTTCCGCGTGACGTCACGCGCCAACGCCAGCGCAGCCGGCAAAACCGAGTAGTTGACAGCGATCACTCTCTCTGCCTGTTAATCGACCGCCATTCATTGTACACAATTTTTTTTGTGCACAAACCAATAGCAGTCCTGGCCATGCCTGAAAGGTTGTCAGGTTAGCGGTTATTCCTCCTGTTTTCACTGCAATTGTAGGCTGAATCTTCATCGTGGATCGTTTTTTACTTCAAGGACCTGTGTAATGGTTATTCCAGGCAAGTTTGGGGTGAGTTGCAGTTGCAATTAGTGTGTAACGGGGACAAAATTGAACATTTTCCAAAATTTTTTTGCAAATACTACAAGTTTTGAGAAAAATGCGCTCCAGCCCTAATAGACAACCCAATGATAAAACTCAGGGCTGGGTAACTCCAGCTATCTCTATTCAGGATCTACGGCACAGAAAACAGCCGTCGCATTTGCAACTCGCGCCCTCGCGCGCTCGACAAGCAATTTGCATAAACGCGACGTCACAGCTTGAGGTCATCTCTTGTCACATTCTAAATGGCTGCCACCACCAGACGTTTCACGAGTGCATATGGGCTCCAGAAAGATTGAAGAATATCTCGGAAAATGGAACATCATTAGACCTAGCCCCATAAATGTGGCCTATTTACTGGACTGCCTCCGTAAACATAGGCCACACATCCACATGTACAAAAATCGTGTCGACGGAGCCAAATTTTGATTTTCACATTTAGGCTTAGTTTGTAGGTTTTTTTTGCTTTAGAAGCATACTCACCCTCTTTATAGGCTAATCAGAAAGTGCTGCCTTTTTCAGATGTATATTTTTCGTGAAATTTCCAGATTCATTTTTACACGTTTGCGTATCAAAATTTCAACATGAAATTTCACAAAAATTAGACATCTGAAAAAGGCAGCACTTTCTGATTAGCCTGTAAAGAGGGTGAGTATGCTTCTAAAGCAAAAAAACCCTACAAACTAAGCCTAAATGTGAAAATCAAAATTTGGCTCCGTCGACACGATTTTTGTACATGTGGATGTGTGGCCTATGTTTACGGAGGCAGTCCAGTAAATAGGCCACATTTATGGGGCTACATTAGACCTAAGCATCCCAGAAGTGACAGGTGAGACATCATAGAATACAACCATAAGAAAGTAAGAAACTGAGAATGTAAGAAACTGCCCTGAATTTTTATGAAAACTTCGTCCTCAGTAGCGCGCGGTACCACGGTGTGTGGCCAAAGGTTCAGCGCAGCATACCGACGGCCACACAGTGGGGCTAACACAACTCACAAGTGGGGCTACCCAAAATGTTAAAAAAGGCGATTCGTAGAGTAATATGATGCCTTAAGTGACAATTTTATTTACCTGAGAGACTGACGATGACGATAGAATGTTCTTCCGTGGACGTGGGGTCGCCATGGCTAAATCCTTAATCGTATTTAGGCCAGTAGTACTAGGCTACTCACAAGCAAATGTTTTGACGGGAATTGAGAATATGGGCGCAGCCATCTTGTTAATGTTGTACATAGGCAATATCCCGGATGTTTCACAGAACGTCAACAATCATCGATTATTGTACTGACACCTTCGTAAAGAAAATATCGACTCTTTGATCACGTTTGAGCATTGATTTTTAAAAAATATATATATCATCGTTTGAATAAAGTTGTTGGAAAGAATCGATTCTTTATGGAGTGGCCAACATCGACAATCAACACTGCATGCAGTGTTCTTATTTTATTTAAGAAAGCTAGTGCAGGGCTAGCCCACTGATCTCTATATAAAGACTGGATAGCGGATATGCATACAACATTCACACAGTAGACTTTGCATATTGACCAATTCGCCCCCGGTCTCACGAAGATGGCCGCGTATAATACGAACGTTCTACGCGTAAATACGCGCGCGTTGTATCAACAGTTGACGCGCATTTTGGTCACGTACACATATTATGATGTTCTAAAAGGGACACATTTCCGTAGTGATTATTATTTCAAAACGCCGAAAAAGTTATATTTGCGGCATTTTAGTAACCACGACGTTAGAAAAATTGTAGTTAACCTTGGTCAGTGATGGTGGTCAAAATATAAGTCAAGTGAACCGCGACGTTACAAAAGAAATCATGCTGTCTATAAAAACGGCAACTTGTCCTTTGTAGATCACCAGCCGGTCTCACCAATATGGCGTCAAATTCGTACATTGTGCGGCTCTTTATTAGCTATCCAGTCTTTATATAGAGATCAGTGGGCTAGCCCCACTACTAGTGTGGCCGTCGGTATGCTACGCTTAGGTTCAGCGCAGCATACCGACGGCCAAACTTTACTAGTGGGGCTAGTGCAGGGCCAGTTGAAAATGTGCCTGTTCGGGAGGAGCAAGTTGAAAATGTGCCTGTTCGGGAGGAGCAAGTTAAAAATGTGCCTGTTCGGGAGAGGCAGGGACAAAAATGCCACTGAGGAAATTCAGTTTTGGAAAGTGAAAGCATGCAGGGCCACCGCACGCACGTGCACGACGATTTTGCTGATGATGCGCTTGTAACTTAACCGCGGACCACACGAAAGAAGAAGATAAAATACGTGTACGTTCCACGATTTTGACAACAAAAATGGTGAAGGTTGAACACACCATTCACTCTTCAAAGCAAGTCTCTTTTTCATATGCTGACAGTTCGCATCCTCCGCGGCTCAGCCGACCCCCCTTAAGTCCCACATCCGTCACTGGGCCTGGGAGGCTCTTACGACGCAAAATCTGTATCAAATCCTTAGTTATAAAACATGCGGTACTTAAGTTGCAGGGTGGGCCCTTAAAGGTTCAAGAAATAATTTCCCGTACGGTACAGCGTAGGCCCTATTTTATTCGCAAAAACAATTGCATTATTTTTGCATTACAATTGCGTTATTTCGCAAAACTCAGTTGTGTTTTTTTGCAAAGCGTTACCCTCTTAAAGCTACAGTCCATCATTTGTAATTTGTGCATTTTGTTCGTTTGAAGCAACAAAAGAGTTCAAAATCTAATGAAGGATACTGAGCAACTAACCTGATGAAGTTTCAGCTAAGCTTCAGCTGTACATTCCGAGAAAAACAGCATTCTAAGATCTCAATTTCAAATCAAAAGTTACTGAATCATGTTTTGAATTGTTTTGAATTGCAGCTATACGCGGCGTCGCGCACTGATCCGACGAATTATAACAACCGCGCGCGCGTGTGCGTCGTTCCAACTTGTGCGCGCTGCGCTGAATAACAAAACGAACTACTAATTTAAATTTTCCTACGGTGCTTCTTAAGAATCACCGTTGTAAATGCCTTCTTTCGTTGATTACTTCAAAATGACAGCTTCCCAGAAAGAATAATTTCACAGGGAGTTTAGTCCCCTTACTATCTTTCAACCAAGTTTGTTTTTCAACAGTAATTACGCCAGTTACTTTTCGGATGGCTGCAAATGATGGACTATAGCTTTAATTCCGCTTTTAATTAAGGGGAGGGGTATAAATTTTCCGCTTTTGAAGAGCGCCCCCATCAGTACTAGTCTTACCCCCCTCCTCCCCCTAATTCCCCCGCCCACGCCTGCCGGGTGATAGTGGCAAGGGGACCTGTTCGCTCGTACCCCCCCCCCCCCCCCCCCCCCCCCGCCCTGCAAACAGGACGCTGGGAAGGGCTGATGAATTTACGTTACGTTCTGATTGGATAGATTTTGCGTGACCTGTGACCTGCAAGTCATCACGGCCATGACCCTGCAAGGTTTTAAACAAGACGGAGTCATCACTCTTTTATGATATGCCCATTCATAAATGTGGGTTTTTTTCTCGTTAAAAAGCGTAATAATCAGGAAAATCTGTAAAACCATGTTCCTTCCTCCATGGTAAAAAATCTATTTTTTACATTTTCAATTCCCGTCGCTCGCTCAGGCTCCGTTTTGAATTCACGAAGGGTCAACTTGCATATCATGCGACGCTCAAATTTTGTCCACATGGTGGACGGTCCGCAATGAAAAAGAAATCACATCCGGTATGGAATGTGAGCATTTCTATGAGAAAGTTTTCGGATAGCATTTGCGCGCATTGGCTAATTGCAGCCAGATGCTTTATACATGGGTCATGATAAATCACCAAGAACGCCATCCCCACTTCCTTCACAAGATTCTGTGAAGCTCATCAGCCCTTCCCAGCGCCCTGTCTGCAGGGCGGGGTACGAGCGAAGGGGACCTGGGGACGCCCCCTACAACATTTAATCCCCCCCCCCCCAAAAAAAAAAAATGCTCATAGCTCAAGAAGTGTTTTTTAATGCGCCTATCAAATGTCCCCCCCCCCCCCGCTGCCCCAGGTCCGATGTCGGGATTTGATCCCGTTTTTCATGCCCCAGGGTGGGGATTTTGGTCACTTAAATTACATTGTTAACATTGGCGCAGTGTAGGAAAGGCAATCACTAATGCGCCCCACGTAACTATGTATGTCGGGGCATGGTCGGGGATTGTCACTTAAATTTTGCCCGAGGGGTGGGGATTTTGTCACTTCAAAAGTGACAATCCCCAGGTCTTAGGTTGGGCAGCCAGGGAGGGGTGGGGGAAACAAGTGATCGGCGCATAACCAAAAGACGAATAGTTTTTAACTTGATTCTCCCTTCACCCTACGTTCTGTCAACCCCCCCCCCCCCCCCCAAAGAAAACTCCTGGCTATACGCCATGCACTTGCCGGCCGGGTGAACGGAAAACAATTCCTGGCCCCTACCTTAATAGCTTCCAGCATGGAGTGGTCGGTCGGCAAGTTTGCCTCCCTCTAAAGCAAGTGCGAGTGCACAATACATGTATCATAATAAGCTCTGGCCTACGCGCAGTCGAGTCACGATGCTCCCAACCTCGTCCCCAGTGCTTACTTTATTTCCAACCGCGTTTCCAATAGTAAACCCTGGATAGGAAACTTTCTTCCTGTATCCTGATTGGATACCGCAATTGGCTAGTAATGGATTTTTATCGTGTACTTGGTGCTATTATTCACAACGTGCAGTACGTGTTTTCGCGATGATGCGTCCACGCCTTCTCGAAAATACTAATTTCCTTTCCAATTTGCTCATATTAATATGAAATATGATACTGCATGTTGTCTCGATAAGATCGTAACAGTTTGCATGATTTCAAAAATTGTGTTTTCGTAACTCACGCCGTACTCGCGCTGCGACGAATTGACTCTGTTTTTACCCCAGACACCGCATACAAAAGCAAACGCTAATGTGTTACGCATATCCAGGCACCAGACTGTTCCTCATTTGCATACGTGTTCAAAAATCTTGCACATGCAAATGTCCAATACCAGGGTGAGCAGGTAGTGGTTGGGCGCGTACTGCTCGACACCCTGGGGACGAGGTTGCGATGCTCCATCCTGCGACATTGCTCAACTTGGGGGATTTCCCTAAATTGTGCTAGTCTGTGTGTTAAGTTGCACTTTCGCTAGACAGTACTGGCGCTATATTGGCGGGCTGCGGGCGATTTTTTTTCCATACCACATGCTCGCTACTATTATATAGAATAATGCTGGACGGCCCTATAATGCAATAGTATAATGTTCAAAACAACCTCATCGATCGAGTCACTGATGTAGTGAGTTCGATTCAATTGGAACATTTTTCTTTTACCAATATGTGGGTTGGAAGGGTTTTTTTTCAAGGGAAAATAAAGTCCGAGAACCTGACTTGCAACTCAACGTACTTCGAAATACGCCCATAACGGATGTATGTGTACGGAAAAAAATATCGCGGGCCGATATTATAATTCTTTGCAGGTAGAATAAACTCCTTTTGTAACACTAATAGTTATAATTTTAATTGGTATATACATGGACTAGCTCTGTACCAACTTTTATTTTGTTATTTAACTAGTTTTGTAGTTGTCCTTGTAATTGTTCCTTGTTAATTTCACAAAGTGGGGTCTCTACTCGACAAGCCCATGAGACCTCCATCCATACACAATTCCAAATGTTAGATAATTTTATTTGAACATGTTTGTGTTGGTAAAGCACACAGATTTTGATTTGATTTGAGCTACGTTTATAAAGTCCTATAATATAGGTTTCCTTGGCTATTTTAAAACATTTTCATTCAAATTCACCAACTTTAACATTCCAGTTCGTCCGAGAAAAAAATATCACACGCTTTTACCAAACCACTTTTATCATTGGTCATTTACCATTCAAATTCAAAGTTTGATCGTCCTCTTTTTTTAACACCAGGCATATATGGGCCTTAAAAGCTATTATTGATTAATATTGAGACTGCTGATGGCTTGTCGCGATTCACCTCCCTAGCGATTCACCTCCCTTCTGAAGCTGGCCAGATTCCTGATAGTGGGTATATAAATTATGTGGGCAGCAAGAGAGTTCCATATTTTGGCCGTAGATGGTCTTTAGTCCTCGGGTCGAAAAGTTTCGTCATTACAGATGTTGCGGAATGGGAGCATTCAGAAATCAAATTCGTCTTTTATCAATCAATTTAAAACTTGTAAAGTAAATTAGTCCAAAGCGTTTTCCTTATGTCCCCAAGCACAATTTGGCATATTCGCTCGCATGATTTTTCGGACCAAAGCAGACTACTAAACTCAAAGAATAGTTACCAAAAAAAGTAAAGATTACTATAAGATCAACAAAACAACGTTATTTATAATAAACAAAAGAACAGAAAAAGTCTCACAATAAAAAAGGGAAATGTCAAAAGCCACGAATAACCCAAAAATCCCCGTAAAATATCCCTAAAATATTGAGTCTAACATATTTTAAGAAGATAGAATCAAAGTAAATGACACATTTATAAAGAAATAAGGAAAGAAAAAAGTTAAGACATTCTTATTAGAGGCCTATATGGCCTTTGAAGATATCGCTATGAAGTACAGCGATGTTGAGAACAATTCTGTTTAACCTGTGTGGCATTAGACGAATTTGATTTGCGCAACACGATTCGGCGCAGACGAGAGGAAATCGAATACTACGGGTCGAAGACGTGTACTCATTGTTTGAATTTGTTTGGACTGAATTTGAAATTGTCTGAAATACCCCCCCCCCCCCCCGGAATGTATACAGCTGCGTTTAGGCCATGCACAAAACACATTGTACGCCGCGCGAGATCTTCACTTAAACTCTGAATTGTAAAAGCAGTAATGTCTTTGTGTTTTTTCCGGTAGCGCAATACACACGTGGTACAGGTGAATAGTAAGCAAGGAGGCAGCCCATTTGAAGCGCGATATGGGACAGAGGAAACCCCCCCCCTCTTTTGTGTTGGTCTATGTTCAGACACCGTGTTAGCTAATCTCAGCCTTTCCTGCCGAGACCCAAACCAGTTTCGTTGCCACAGGAAGTTTCTCCGTGTTTTGGGTGCAGTGTTTTTATAAGTTTGACATTAATATTACCTTGCTCTTTCATTATACCCGGTTCAATGCTGGGTATATATTTTTACCGGTGAGTTTTGGGCCTTATGCTTTTGTTGATTTGTTTATTTGTTGTTTGACAAACAGCCTGGGACGAATACGTTACTCGACAACGCGGCAAACGCCATCTTGGATTTGAATATAAAATCAATGATCTACACGTTGTGTTTATCCCTTCGACCAAGGATTTCACAGTCATGATTGATTTTTTTCTCATAGCGAATGGTGTATGAAGGATAGAAAATCTAATATATTGAGCAAAATTTGTCTGAAAGCCTATCAAAAAATCAGACTGTAAATGGAATCATGACAATCGGGAAAGAGTTCCATACCTGGACATCACTTGACACTCTTGTGCACAAACCCTATGAGACTGACCTGAAAAATAGGAATGACTGACCTTCATTGAGATAATATATTTTATGATGAAAAAGTGGTGTCAGGATGCAACATTCTTCCTTTTTGAAAGAACGTTGCAACCTGACGCTGCTTTTTTTCTTCATATATCATCTCAATGAAGGTCAGTCACTGCAAAAATGACGATCATGAGACTTGAACCTGGGACTGAGAAACATTTCCAATTTTTGTTAGGAAACACTTTGAAAATTGTCTTGACTCTCCATAGACTATGTACACAACCGCTGAAGTAGCGTCAGGGTGCAACATTCTTTCCGATCATTCTCCTGACGAATTTTCAATTTGTATTGTTTTTAACGAAAACAAAACCTACTTTATTCCGCTTTTGGCCGTCTGTAGCTCTCTGAAAAAAGAACTTCCATTTAATTTGTGCACAACCCACCCTGCCAGAGCCGATTTATTTGCTGGCAGCTAGTAATTAGAATTTTGTGAAGAAATAATTCAAATTCAATATCTAAATGTCGGTGACGTCACATTTAAAGGTGCATATTTTGAAAGCCTATATCAACAGAACTACAGTATCTTATGAAAAGGTATACCAAGGGTGGACCCAATAACTACAATTTCCTCCAAATTTACAGGTTTTATACATGTAACAATAAAAAATATACGTTCAGTCGTTGGCGAATTTTCAAAACATTGGAGGCTCTTATAAATTCAACTTGTATTACTTCAACAAACATTCGATGCATGATCAGTTAATACAACTGTAGAGTACGAAAAAAATATTAGAAATCACACGTTCTGAGTGCTCGTACCGAGGAGAAAATTCTACAAATCAAAGTGTGAGTTGGATATCTGGCCAAATTTGCCTTTCTGTTATAGAGATTTTACAGAAAAGATAAATATGTGTATCAAGAACACGAAGGAACTTACATTTTACTTTTCAAAACCACTACGTCAGAAAAAACTACTGGAGACCTGTACAAAAGAAGTAGGCCTACATTGTAGGTTTTCAAGCGGTACGGACACTATAAAATCGTATGTTTAGAACCACGGAAAACGGACGCGTTGGACAACGGACGAGTTGGATAAAGGACGAGTTGGACAAAGGAACAGACGGACAACGGACGACTTGGACATCGGAAGTCTTGACTTTCCCAGTTGAACGCCCAACGGTCGAGTTCGTACAACTGCGGTCGAGTTGGTATAACGGCGGTCGAGTTGGTACAACTATGTAGGCCTTTATATAGATCTGAAGAAATATTCATTACATGAAATGAACGTAAAAATTTCCAGGAACATCCACAGATATAGGTGTACAATTAAAGAAAAATACTCGTGCATGTATAGATGTATGGTATGGGATTAAAACGTAAACATACACAACAAAAATAATCATATTAAGGCATGCTGTTTAATAAAATCACATTTTACAAAAGGGATACTATTTTTAATGCATGGTTTCTTTGCTACCCTCATAAAATGTCCATAAATTGTTTTAATCTAATTACTCGACAAGCATTTTAGTCCCTATTTCTATGTCAAAACCATTTACCCTTAATTCTATGGAGAATTGTAGTCAATAATATTTATAGTCCTGCTATTGTGTCAAAAACTGTTATCACTGTTTGAGAAAATGACGAATTTTGCGTGGTACGGTAACTGATTATGTGCTTACATCCTCCAAACACTATACAACAAGGTCCAAACCGTACCAACGAACTCCCAACTCAGGGGGCGAATCAGCTAAGGGGTGAGGCAGCTGGGGGCGAGTCGGCTGAGGGTGCGAGTCGGACAGCGGGGTGAGTCGGGGAGGGGCGATTCGGCACTCGGCAGTGGTGTTCCCTAACGTGGCGCACCCTGCAACGTGCCATGGCGCACTTCGATGTTTCCCTCGACTTTCCCCACACAGTGTTACCAAACCTCTTTGTGTTGACAAACTTCAAACTCATTCAATTAAATACTGCATGCTACTATCACCTTAATAATTCTTGCCGTTGAACCTTTGTGAACAATACAAATGTATCAGAGTCGTGAAATTTAGTCCGGAACTAACAAAACGGCGGAATCCGGAAATTGGGCAAAAATTCGGCCGAGTGTTCCCAAACGTGACGCATTTGAACAAATCTCGGAAAAATCCCAATTTAACAGTAAGGCTTTCTTTAAAATTGATAAATTCTGATAAATCATTATCTCTACTCACATAAATGCAACTACAACTTTGTCATTTATTATTTTTGGGCGTAGTTTAAAAGGGTTCATTGTGCACTTCGAAAAAATCGGAAAATCACGCCAAAATATAATTTAGACCTTGATAAATTTTCACTTTCTGAAATTTTCACTTTCTGAAATTTTCACTTTCTGTGCAATTTGAGTTGCTCTATAGCTAGCAAGGCACTCACTATAGGCGAAAAATCAAAGTGCGCTACGTGGGGCCTCGCCACGTTGCAACGCGTTGGGTACATCAACAAATATAATATATACCTGTACCGAATGCTTTCTGGAAGTTAAGAGAGACCCTAGATATAGGCTACAAGGCGTACTGAAAAAAAAAGAGTGCATGTAAACCCCTTTTTTTTTTGCTGCGGATGTTTACACCATCTTCAAGGTAATAGATTTAGCTTGAAAATACCGTTTGTTTCATTGAGATTGCTTTTATAAATCCAAAGATATGTTTGAATAACGGCTAAGCCAAGAAACCCATTATGTGCCACAGTTTCTGTGAAGCAATTAAAATCAGTATAGTCCTAGTCTAAAACCAAATCATGCACTTTACTGTTTGTGATTTTGACATTTTTAAGCAGAGTGTGAAATATTTACTTATATTCAATTGAACTCTTTCATTGAAGTTTTAAATTGGCATTGTCTGATCTTTAAAGCTCTCGCTTCCTAAAAGTGGCACAGATTTTTGTTTTGGCTTTGCGGTTATTCAAACATATCTCTGGATTTACAAAAGCAATCTTAATTAAACAAACGGTATTCTCAAGCTAAATCTGTAACCTCGAAGATCGTGTAAACATTTGCAGTAAATTCCGGTTGTAAATTGGCGAAAATGGCGGGGTTTACATGCACCATTATTTTCAGGACACCCTGTACAAAGCCACTGATAGCGTAACGCTGGCTGACGATGTTCCCTGCTCTATGATGGGTGCATACAAAATACTCTATATTAGAAAGTTCGGAGAGCCATGGAATTGGGGAATTGAAGAGATATCGCAATGAACCTTTGGCCATGAATATGAGCTTCCAATTCAGAGCATTTTTGGGCCCGAAAGTCGCGCTATTTACCCTTGTTGTGGAGGGATCGTTTTTCAAGATGGCTACTTTTCCGCTTTGGGAAAAATAGGGGTCGTCTTTATTGGGTGAGAATTTCTCGAAAAGTCAAAGGTCAACCCACCAAAAAACTTAAGAGAAAATTGAAAGATGACATGTTAATCATAATTTACTGTGCAGCCCTGAAGACATGTGAGGGTTCTGAGTATTTTTGTGCAACCACTTATGTACGTACGTCCGTACAGTACAGCTACATGCCCATGACCTCGTGACTTTTGATCAGTACAGTATGAAACTTGGTGAAATCTGTCCAATGGCGCACTTCGCCATATGCGCCTATAACAAATATGTGGTAAGGAAAAAGCAAATCGCGGGCAGGCCGGTAAATAGGACCCAAATTGCCTACGCCGGCCAAATCACGATTTGCATGCCCTCAAATTATCTGGTATCAGAGAATTTTGTTGGACATGAACTTCAGGTTTTGTCAAAAAGAAGGGTGGGAGACGTGCACAGGAATGTGTGCTTCCATTTAAGTATCATATGGATGAAATTTGGCCCTAAAAATGCTCTATTTTGCAATAGAGCGTAGGCATCATTTTTCAAAATGGCTCTGGCCTTCAGGACTATTTTTAAGTTTGTTTGTGCATGTCAATTGGAGGGTTGGGTATGGGAGTGTAGTGGGCGTGGTCGTTTTGTTTTGTTTTTGTTTTGTTTTGTTTTGTTTAGTTTTTCCCTATATTTCTAAAACACGATTTAGCCATCTTGTGTGTGAAACAAGTCAAACTAGAGTTTCGCGTTTGTTGAGTTACAAACGCAGAGTGGTCGGGCGGACAGCCTTCTCATTATACACTGCCCAGTTAAGTTAGGAATATATGTAGAAAAAAGGATCACGAAATTAAATCCCTTCAAGTACAATCAATGTTTCAAAAAGGTATCTTTAGCGGTGTGATAAACTTCAGTAAACATTCTATGTGCACAAAAAGTTATTTCTAGTTTGATGACGTCATCAGTCAAAAATGGTTAGTGAATACTGATAAAGTTCGGAGAGGATAATTTGTCATTTTAAAATTAAATAACGTATGAAAATATGGGAAATATAATTGTTTGTATTAATATCACCTAACTTCCGGTTTGACGACGTATTTATAACACCTAACTTCCGGTTTGATGACGTCACAGCATTAGAGATCCAAAGGTGAACATTGTAATGGATATCATATTTGGACTTCGAAGATATGACAGGGATCAAATGATAGAAATAAATTTAAACTATATTTTATGTGCCGATAGTGGGCGCCCTTTCGGATGATGACGTCATCACACTGTTTTTTGCGTCTTGCATTCCTCACTATACACTTTCATAATATATATGTCTGTAGTGAAATGCTTCCGCTTTTGAGTTATATTCAGTTTTTATTGCACTTCCGGTAACACCGGAAGTAAAGGTCAAGCGGTTTTGCGTTCGGGAACATGAAATGTTTCTCACGGCATAGTCTACAACCTCACGAAAAAACGAACACGATACTCTATTTAGTTGAAAAGATATAACGCAAACTATTTTGTCAAAGTTTGCCCTTAAATCGCTTGTAATTTGATACCTGATTACGTCATGATGACGTAACAAAATGTACAACATCTTCGTAACATGGTACAAGTTCACACAAGGTTTTGTGATCATACCGTGAACCGTTCGGAAGAAATGCTGCTTTGTTTTGATGTCAGGCTAACGTCTTCATTTTGAATTCACCTAACTTTGACCTTCCGGTAGACCCGGAAGTAAAGGTCAAGCGAGTTCACGTACACTACAAAAACTGTTAAGCGATTAATGGTCTATCTGATTACAGAATACAAACCTCATTGATTGTTAAGTTCAAGAGTTATAGGTGAAAGTAATTGGTCACTTTTTCAGATACAATCAATTGTAATTTGACACCCGATGACGTAATCATGACGTCAGAGTAATATACACCACTTCGGATGAGGGTCGATATATATTGAAAGTTACAAGTTCATACCATATACCGTTTAAGAGAAAACCCGCGGAGAAGTATTGTCCGGAAAAAAAAAAGAAAGAAAGAAAGAAAGAAAGAAAGAAAGATTAATCGTAACAGATCCAAAGAGTGGTCGGGTTGTGCCCGACCACTCAAATAGTTTTCTGTTTTCACCATTTTCCATTTTGAACACTTGTGCCAAATGCCTACATCGAAGCTAGTCCAAATAGCTTTTTGCGTCAGCAAAAAACCTTGTTTTGATGGGAGTCGGGTGGGATTCTAAAAAACAAGGTCAGAAAATGGCGTTGACTGCGTATTGGAAATGAATGCTTGGCTTGAATGTTAAAGTTTGAGATTGTGCAACCATATATTAACATCATTTGCCTTCCTTTTGGGAAGTGCGGATGGGACTGAGCTGATGGGAGCCATCGTGTTGTAGTTCAGTAGTCCCAATTTGGTATATTTATTTGTGCATTGTGTCTTTAGTATTTGTGTGTGGGCTGCCTGTCTCGTGTCGGTGTTGAAGTCGAACTGAGACTTTATTTCCAAAACGCGGGATATAGCCATTTTGAACACTTGTGCCAAATGCCTGCATCGAAGCTAGTCCAGAAAGTTTTTGGCGGGAGTCGGGTGGGATTCTAAAAAAATAAGGTCAGAAAATGGCGTTGACTGCGTATTGGAAATGAATGCTTGGCTTGAATGTTAAGTTTGAGATTGTGCAACCACATACTCACATTATTTCCCTTCCTTTTGGAAGTTTTTCTTGTATCTCCTTGTCTGTCTATATGTTACTACAGATTCTGGTGTCAAAGTGCGGACGGGACTGAGCTGATGGGAGCCATCGTGTTGTAGTTCAGTAGTCCCAATTTGGTATATTTATTTGTGCATTGTGTCTTTAGTATTTGTGTGTGGGCTGCCTGTCTCGTGTCGGTGTTGAAGTCGAACTGAGACTTTATTTCCAAAACGCGGGATATAGCCATTTTGAACACTTGTGCCAAATGCCTGCATCGAAGCTAGTCCAGAAAGTTTTTGGCGGGAGTCGGGTGGGATTCTAAAAAATAAGGTCAGAAAATGGCGTTGACTGCGTATTGGAAATGAATGCTTGGCTTGAATGTTAAGTTTGAGATTGTGCAACCACATACTCACATTATTTCCCTTCCTTTTGGAAGTTTTTCTTGTATCTCCTTGTCTGTCTATATGTTACTACAGATTCTGGTGTCAAAGTGCGGACGGGACTGAGCTGATGGGAGCCATCGTGTTGTAGTTCAGTAGTCCCAATTTGGTATATTTTTTGTGCATTGTGTCTTTAGTATTTGTGTGTGGGCACCCCGTCTCGTGTCGGTGTTGAAGTTGAACTGAGACTTTATTTCCGAAACGCGGGATATAGCCATTTTGAACACTTGTGCCAAATGCCTGCATCGAAGCTAGTCCAAATAGTTTTTTGCGTCAGCAAAAATCTTGTTTTGATGGGAGTCGGGTGGGATTTAAAAAAAAAGAAGGTCAGAAAATGGCGTTGGCTGCGTATTGGAAATGAATGCTTGGCTTGAATGTTAAAATAAAGTTTGAGATTGTGCAACGATGTTTGAGCTTTGTGCACAACGTTCCCCAACCATAAGCAGTCATACAGGGTCAACACAGCATCAACACACACAGAAGCGACAACACAGGTCAACACCACCAAAACGCATTCAAATTGACGAAACCAGTGTTCAAACCGTACAGTATGGGCAAAACTTAAATTTTGGCTAGAAATCAATAAGTTAAACGTCTGAAAATTGTAATTTTCAGTTGAAGAAAATTGGCTCTCTTAATACGGGCGATTCCAAATAGTGCGCCTCCAAGAGTTTGCAGCGCGTTGGCCAATCACAATGCGCGAAATCAGTCGACCTTTTCCAAACGGGCGTTGGGTCGACAGATTTTGCGCATTGTGATTGGCCAACGCGTTGCAAACTCTTGGAGGCGTACTATTGGGAATCGCCCGTATTCGTGCAGCTCCGAATCGGCAGACATGGCCAAGTTCGGGCAAGGACCATTAGTCGACTAGTGGTTGATTTGTGACGTACCTTACGCCTGCGCGCTAATAGCAAAGTGCGAACGTCTCTAGTCGAACGCTGGTCAAAATGTCATTGCAAAACGTCTGGATCCTGGCTCCCTGCTGTACGTTATGAACGCGCGCGGCTATGGTTACCAGCGATGCAACCAGCCCAGTAGGTTGGTTCCAAATAGTCGACTAGCGTAGTTAACCATCGTCGACTAGACAGAGTTCGGGCAAGCGTTAGTCGACCAATGGTTAACTAAAGTCCTTGCGCGAACTTGCCCTTAGCGAGCATTTTTTTTTTTCGCGTGACAAAAACTCCATTTTCTTAAACGAAATGTAACCTCTGGCCCACCAAAAATCTCTTTAAGTCTAAACATTACAGTTCCATGCCTTTTTTGGTCAATTTAGGCCAAGTTCGGGCAAGGACCATTAGTCGACTAGTGGTTGATTTGTGACGTACCTTACGCCTGCGCGCTAATAGCAAAGTGCGAACGTCTCTAGTCGAACGCTGGTCAAAATGTCATTGCAAGACGTCTGGATCCTGGCTCCCTGCTGTACGTTATGAACGCGCGCGGCTATGGTTACCAGCGATGCAACCAGCCCCAGTAGGTTGGTTCCAAATACTCGACTAGCGTAGTTAACCATCGTCGACTAGACAGAGTTCGGGCAAGCGTTAGTCGACCAATGGTTAACTATAGTCCTTGCGCGAACTTGCCCTTAGCGAGCATTTTTTTTTTTGCGTGACAAAAACTCCATTTTCTTAAACGAAATGTAACCTCTGGCCCACCAAAAAATCTCTTTAAGTCTAAACATTACAGTTCCATGCCTTTTTTGGTCAATTTAGAATGCGTTTTGGAAGTGTTGACGGTGTGTTGATGCTTCTATCATGTGTTGACGCCGTGTTGACGCTGTGTTGACGCTTATTAGTACGACCCACTATAAGTGCGTGATTCTCATCAGAGCCAGCATGCTTGTATGCCAGCCGCCTACAAGAAAGCGCTCGATCGTCTCGGCACTGGAGCACATCGGCTATTTTCCTTGAACTTGCTCTATATCGAAGAACTGCAACGGAATGGGTACAATAATTCATGGGAAACTACCGTATGATTGAAAACTAGAATTTTATTTGTTTTTACTTCCAATTTTTAAGAATTGACTTGTATCTAGGCCTATATCTGTATGAATAGAATGAAGCAAATGCAAAAGCATTTTTTTTTTTACTTTTTAGCTTTGCTAGATTATAAGCATTTACTTCGTTTCGTATGAATACAAAGGAGTAAAAGGGAGATCCCCACTGTCCAACGAGGCTTGGTACAAGATGGAGAGTACAGGTCCAAGGCTGTTAGCAAGTTCTTTCAGTAGACGAGCTGGAATATTATCTGGTGGCTTTATGAGGATTTATTTTCTTCAGCAATTTGATTACGCCGTTGACATTTATCTGTATGTGATCCATAGTAGGAAATGGACTAGGGCCAAGGAGTGGCATGGTGGATGGATCCTCATCTTTGTTGAAGACTGAACAAAACTGGTCGTTGAGAATATTTGCCTTATCCTTACTTCCAGTGTATGTAGCTCCTCTGGGGCCACGGAGAGGGGCAACACCATTGTTGTCACAGCGCTTGCTTGAGATATGGCTCCAGAAACGCTTGGGATTTGACTTGAGATCTGGGCACACAATGTTGTTGATGTAGTTGTTGTATGCTTCTCTGCATGCGTTCTGCATACGTTTCTTCAGGACGTTGTACCTGGCCCAGTGACGGTGATTGCGATGACGGCGATGGGAGCAAGCCTTGTTGTAAGCACGTTGTTTCTGCCTACTGAGCTGCTTGATTTTGCGGGTTATCCATGGCTGCATGGTTGAAACGACTAGATGTGAATTTGGATGGAACAAGGTCCAAGATTTGGGAGAGTTTTAACTCTATGGTGTCCCACATCTCGCTGACAGGGGATGAAGCGTCAAATTTGGTTACAAATTCATCTTTTAAGGTCGCCACCTATCCCGCACAATGGATTTCCTGTTGTTGCTGGAAATGTTACGTATGGAACTACACAGGCAGGCACTCTAAGTAGTTCTCATTTGAGCATGGGGGGCGGTATACAGCGCCAACAATGAGAGATTCGCATGTTTGTGATTTGGCGTTTCTGTGTTTGAGATCGATCTCGACAAAGAGTGCCTCACAATCGTCGGCTGTCTGGATGATTTTTCCAGACCAGAACCCACGCCAATGGCGACTCCACGATCCACCACAACTGTCTGATCTGTCCCTCCTATACAGCTCATAGTCTAGTTCGGGGGGAAAGATTTCATGGTTAGAAATGTTGGGATTTAACCAGGTTTCTGTAAGGATGACAATGCCAGGTTTAGCGGTGTGTAGGATGTTCCAAAATTCCACCAGTTTATTTCTGATGCTACGACAGTTAATGACCAGAACGCCCAGGTTTGAAGGAAGGGTGCCGGCAATATTAACAGGCGCGTTGGGTTTATTTGGGGATGACATGGCTGATGGCAGACCAATTGGGCTATGAGCGCTAGTACATGCGCTGTCAAAATTACTTTCCTGAGATATGTTGCTACATGTACAGGATGAAGATGCATATGATGCTGAATCAGAGACATTGCAACGATGGATGATTCAAAGAAACTTGAAGTGAAGTGTAAGACACCACAGGTAGGGCAATGCCAACTTACATCAGGGTCGCATAGGTAATTAAATGTTTGAGTGCTTATGTGTACACAGTTCTTATGAAACCAGACTTCGCAATCATCACAGGCTACTGCAGGGGTTTTCCAACGAACAGCACGACTGCAAATACCACAGGGGTACTTAGGCCTGTAAGGCATCGCAGTTCATATCAAGGTTCAGAGTTCACCCGTAGGCCTACATGTATGCATGTAATCATGGCAACAATGGCAGGCTTCAACATGAAGTTCAAGAGAGGAATTCTTTTCTTCGATGGCTTGAAACTGAAAGAAATGTGGATAATTGGCACCAGAATACAAATATGATGATATAGAGAGTGACCATGTGTACAATAGGATGCAAGCAACCCGATTGACAAGGGATTGGGGGTGGATGGCTGAGAAAAATTTGTTTTCAGTTCTACTTGCGAAATTGCATGATTGTCGACCATGTGAACGGCACTCAGTCAGTCAGTATACACATTACAGTATGGTGAACGGTGAAACCTGAGGTGAAGACTCTCAAAACGTCCCAAAATTTAGTAAGAGAACATCAGAAATAGTCCAGGTGATGAAAGAATGTATTGGTGAAGGTAAAAGCTCCTCAAAGAAACATGAAAGCATGACTTTTCAGTAAAAAAGGAAAGAAGAAACCAGAGAGAACAGAGAGCACGTCTGCACTGCATGAATGCACAACAACTATTCATGCTTTAAGTGACTATAGGCCTATAGATTGTTTATAATGTAATTTGAACCTTAAATAAGGTAATACTACAAATCTGCATGTGTTTTAAGTGTTTATAGTGTATTTCGAGTAATTCTGTGGAATTTGACAGATTTTTGATAAATCTGACAGATTTTTGAAGCGAATTTAGCAGAATTTTGCCATGACCTTACGGTCACCCTGCTTTGGGCAGAGCGTAATGTCACTGAATGTATAACGCTACAGTGTATGCCCACAGTGTATATGGAGAATGCCTACTGCCTGATGTGCAAGGTTGACTACCTCGCTGTTTGGTTGACTTCAATGCTTACAAACTACAAAAGCCGTAAAGTTTATCATAGAGGTTCTGAGGTAAGCAATACTTAATTTTTGGGGCCTTCCATTAATAAATAGTAATGAAAATAATCGTTGTGGCCGTGCCATGTTTTTTTTCGTGAACGAGATGCAAGATGGGGTGAAACATTTCGCCACATGTGTTGAGTAGCGCTTCAAGCACTACTCGTACATTTCCAACGATACGCTCTCTGTATCCGACACCATGGACCATGAGTATATCACTACTCCATAAAACTGTGTACAAACTAAAAATGCTTCTTTGGAGGGGAGATGAAATCACTACTCACTATACTCCATAGACACGTGTACAAAAAGGCACTACACAAGTCCTACACGGCAGGAAAATCACTACTCCATAGAACTGTGTACAAACCAAAACAGCTTCTTTGGAGGGGAGATGAAATCCCTACTCACTACTCCATAGACACGTGTACAAAAAGGCACTACACAAGTCCTACACGGCAGGAAAATCACTACTCCATAGAACTGTGTACAAACTAAAAAAGCTTCTTTGGAGGGGAGATGAAATCACTACTCACTACTCCATAGACACGTGTACAAAAAGGCACTACACAAGTCCTACACGGCGGCAGGAAAAATCACTACTCCATAGAACTGTGTACAAACCAAAAAAGCTTCTTTGGAGGGGAGATGAAATCACTACTCACTACTCCATAGACACGTGTACAAAAAGGCACTACACAAGTCCGGACTACACGCCAGGAAAATCACTACTCCATAGAACTGTGTACAAACTAAAAAAGCTTCTTTGGAGGGGAGATGAAATCACTACTCACTACTCCATAGACACGTGTACAAAAAGGCACTACACAAGTCCTACACGCAGAGGAAAATCACTACTCCATAGAACTGTGTACAAACCAAAACAGCTTCTTTGGAGGGGAGATGAAAATCACTACTCACTACTCCATAGACACGTGTACAAAAAGGCACTACACAAGTCCTACACGGCAGGACTTGTGTTGTGACTTTTTGTACACGTGTCTATGGAGTAGTGAGTAGTGATTTCAACTACCCTTCAAAAAGGAGCTTTTTTATATATATTTTTTTAATGTACAAAGTTCTATGGAGACTGATTTACACAGTGGGCTAGTGGTTCACAGATTATTCAGTGGTGTACGTATTTTAGGTTGTGACAGAATACTAGTTGTGTAGGGTTCAGTAGCGCTACTGAAAACACCTACCGACCGAGAACCCCCCATTTCGTGCACCATTTGTGAACGAGACAGCACCACACTAGCTAGTCTGGTTCCCAGACGAAAAGATCTGACTACAATCCAGGCGTGAGCGTCGGGAATAATTGTCAGGTCTGGGAACTAGACTAGCACCACACCGAATGCGATACCGAAATGAAATTCCTAGTTTCGGCGCACAGAATTTACAAATCC